TTTTTCTTCACCCTATGCAAATCAGAGAAATTGCATCCAAACATCCCTAAATACTTTATAGTGTATATTTTCTAAAAGGAAAAACAGGGCACCCCGGGTGGCTCAGTGGTTTAGCACCGCCTTCGGCCCACGGTGTGATCCTAGAGACCTGAGATTGAGTCCCACATCGGGCTCCCTGCATGGAGCCTGCTTCTCCCTCTGCCTGTGTCTCTGCCTCTCTCTCTCTCTCTCTCTCTCTCTCTCACTCTCTCTCTCTGTCTCTCATGAATAAATAAATAAAATCTAAAAACAAAAAAATAAAAGGAAAAGCATTCTGCTACCTAACTACCATGCAGTTACCCAAATCAGGAAATCTAGTGTTGATATTGTACTATTATCGAATTAAAATTTTATAAATTGTCTTAATGTCCTTTATTGTTTTTTTACCCTACACAGATCCAATCCAGGATCACGCATTTAGTTGTTATGCTTTTTAGTTCTTTAACTTGGGACAATTCCTTTCTTTTTGTCTGCCTTTCTGGACTTTCACACTTTTGAGAATTATAGGCAAGTTGTTTTGTAGATTGCCCCTCAATTCAGATCTGTCTGATACTCTCTCATTATTAGATTCAGGGTATGAATTTTTAGCAGGAATATGTGCTTGATTTTAAATACCAGCAGTTACCTCTACCCGCATCTCCCACACTTTGACCAGACACCTGCATACTTGGGGGACCTTTGAGGTCTCCCAGTAAAATGCAGATTTCTCTCTGCTTCCTCTTAAGATTGCTAATTTAGCCATCAGAATTGCTAAAATCCTGAGGAGGATGTCTGTTTCCTGAAGAATTTATACTTAGATGAAACCTTAAATTAATTCAAAACTCTTTCCAAAAATGTGGCCCCCTCCCAAATTCCCCATGTATTAAGGTCTGCTTCATTATTATTATGAAGAGTAAATTATTCATCAAATGGTGGATGGATGGCTTAGGAAGATAAATAACATGCCATGAATGCAGTAAAAAAGGTTTCTCTTTTCTAAATAAGGAGCATTTTTAACCCAACTCTTTAAGACTACATCTCTCTGGAGAAAAACACTAGACTGTACAGTTCCTCAGAAGCCAGAGCTTTAAACCGGCCCTGCAATAAAGAAGTTCAAGGCCTCAGCGATCCCTAAAGTTTTGCCTGTGTCTATTCAGTCTCTGCTCCCTCGTGCTGAATATCCAAGGCTACCATGAAGTGGCAGGAGGAGGATGTGTGGGTGAAGAGTGGGCAGAGAAGACTCCCAAGAATTGGAAACTATGCAAAGAGTAGCAGCCAGCAGCTAATTAGTATCAGCTCTGAAATGACCCCTTTGTGTGGCTTGTCCTTCCTGAGAGAAAGGTTACAGTGCTGTGATGCCTGCTTTTAGCAGTGTGGTAATTAAAACAATTAATCCCAGGTCCTAAATAAGGTGGCTTCACTTATTTGGCTAAAGAGAGAATGGTCCTCCTTCATTTTTTTCCCCTCCTACTCACTGAATGTCACATCCAAGAGATGAGACAATTCCTACATTTTGCTTCTTCACGTAGGGCCTATTTAGAGGGAGGAATGATCATTAAGGAAGATTCTGGAATCTCAAGTCTACTTTCCTAAAACTGAAAAGCAAACTTATTTTGAGATGTTACTATCATAGCTCTTTATGAAGCTCTGCTGGGATACAAAGTCAGTTGATAAAGATTGCTAATAATTATTGTGCATTTACTATGTGCTGAGCCATGATGTCAAGATTTTACATGGTTCATCCTATTTAATCCTCCTTAAAATCTATGAGTTGGATAGTACTGTCTGTATTATAATCCTGTCCAGTTTGTCAGATGAGGAAGCTGGGACCAAGAAAGGGGAAGAGACTAGATCATGAAGAGTCAGAGTAGAGACAGGATTGGAACACAGGCATTCTGGTCCAGAGAATGGCTCAACCACCATGCTATCTGTATTTCATATTCCAACTTCCCTACCATCTAGGGGTATCACAAGACAACTAAGAAAAGATGAATCCTTGCCACATGAGTGGATTAGGCTCATCAGGGAAGATTTCCCAAAACAAGGCAGATTTAAACAAGGCTGAAAGGTAGACTGAGTTTGATTTGGTGAAGAGGGTATTAAGGGCCTTCCAGGGAATGACAGCTACATGAAAACTCTGAGGATCGGGACAACAAACAGAACCTTTGGCTCTGGCAGGGAGTTTTTGCAGTCATTTGCAAGAGACCTTTATCTCCTAGGCCTCACTCATACTACCTTTTTATTTTTATTTTTATTTTTTTTAAACATTCATTTTTTTAAATTTTTATTTATTTATGATAGTCACAGAGAGAGAGAGAGACAGAGACACAGGCAGAGGGAGAAGCAGGCTCCATGAACTGGGAGCCCGATGTGGGATTCGATCCCGGGTCTCCAGGATCACGCCCTGGGCCAAAGGCAGGTGCTAAACCATTGCGCCACCCAGGGATCCCTCATACTACCTTTTTAAAACATATTTTATTTATTTGAGAGAGAGAATGAGCAGGGGGTGGCGGGAGGGCAGAGAGAGAGGGAGAAGCAGACACCCTGCTGAGCAGGGAGCCTGATGTGGGGCTCCATCCCAGGACCTTGGGCTCATGACCTAAGCCAAAGGCAGATCCTTAATCAACTGAGCCACCCAGGTGCCCCTGGTATAAAGAATTTAGTCATAGCCTATAGGAATCATGTATTATAACTCTGTGCAACTACACACACACACATACACACACACACACACACACACACACACAGTGGTTAGCCATAAAGGAAATCACTGTGGGACATTTTCCAAATTAATCTTTAGAGTTTTAATGTCATAAGCTCCCATTTTTCTACAAATAAACTTGCCATGAACCTTAAGTTTTTTTTGAAAGCCAAACTAATATGCTGTCCATATGTGTTTGAGTCATTTATTGTCTGCCCTGCAAGTTGCTGTTTTCCAAGAATTGTGTGATGACCAAAGAACACTGTAGCCTATTTGGGAGACTTCATAAAACTTTCTCCTATGGCCCCATTCCTGACATTAAAAGACACTAATAAGAAATTACAAATACAATATTATTTGGAATTAAATGTTTGCATATTTCTTCCTAAATAATATACCTTAAATTACAGTCTTTCAACTGATCTCACAGTATTAGGTGATCTTTTCTCATTCTGATTTATGTGTTTGTATTTGATTGCTAATTTGAAAATGATTTTAAGCACATATTTTAAGTACAGAGATTCAACTTTTAATTCAAACCTGAAAATTGTTAACTGCTTCCTTATGTTTCTTACTGCCAACTACCAGCAAATGGGCAGAATTCCTTTCTTCAGTAATAACTTTTCCAGTATATATATTTTTTATTATCAAAAGGGGTGCCTGGGTGGCTCAGTCAGCTAAGTGTCTGCCTTCAGCTCAGGCCATGATCTCAGGGTCCTGGGATGGAGCCCCACAGGATCCCTGCTCAGTGGGGAGTCTGCTTTTCCCTTTCCCTCTGACCCTCCCCCACCCCCCCCACCCCCGCTCTTTCTCTCAAATGAATAAATAAAAAATCATTTTAAAAAAGACTTTGCATGAAAACAGGAAGATAAGGTTTTCTCCTTAACTGAGCAAAACAATTGTCCCAATCTCTGTAAAATATTCTACCTATGCCTCTGACCCATGTAAGATAAAAGAAATGATAGTATGCTTTTGGTCTTCCTGCTCCAGGAAGGAGAGGTGCTGTAGGAAAAGAATTGATTTTCTTCACTTCTGTGGTTTGAGAACAAGTTATAACTCCAGTTCTTCAAAGTGCAAGGAAAATAATACACAATTATTAGATAGCTATCTGTAAGACACAAATGTATGGATTTAGTAGAAAAGAACTCACCAGAAAAATGAAGTATGTTTCTAAAAGAATGCTATATTTTACTGCTTCTCTTTCTTTTGGCTTTTGGAATTTAACCTCCACTTGACCCACCTCCATACTAATCACTCTGGCTCTCTAAGTGCTTCCTTAAAGTCATCTTCTCTTTTCTCTGAAATAAACTGCAGAGCCATTTTTAAATCAACATATTTAAAGTTTATTTATCTATTTATACACACCCTTGTTCTAAAAAGCATTTAAAGTGGCTTAAAAGGATCCATAACATACACCAAGAAATAACTAACAAAAGAATCAGAAATTAAGCTTGAGTAAAAATGCTTATACAATCCTACTCATTTACTCTGAGTGGACCACAAATTTGGCTCTATGATTTCTCACAGAAAGTCAGAAAAGGAAACTTAATTAGTTACATCACTTTACAGTGTCCATAAAACAAAAACAAACCAATTACCCAAGCAAAGAACTCTTATTCCTAATACTAAGACCAGAAAGAAATTTCTCGAGAGACTTCAGAAAGAGGTCAGTGTATGACGCAATAATCAGTGTGCTCAGTAGCAACCTAACTAGAGATACAAAAATGAATTTTGCAGGGCTTTTTTCTGATTATATTCAATACAGCAAATGGCATTACAGCAACTTAAAAATCATGGGTTTGGGGGTTAGGGGTGGGCATAATATGATATGGTCAAGGTATTCCGTTCTCCTCTGCTATGCAACAGCAAAGATACATTTTAAAATAAGAGATTAATCCAGTACCAAGAATGGCTTCACAGAAATTCTAAAACCTCTAGGATTATATGCATAAATGAAAAGGTAAGCTCACTTTTCTTGAGAGAGAAAACATAGTGTATCAGATCCTCAAGGTACACCGGCAATTCACAACAGTTAGCAATAATTTCTTTAGAAAATCTAGAGAATTAAACATACTACAAATCCTTCACCCTAGTCTGTGTATTATCCCCCAGTAGCCTAGGTTTTTTTCCCCCCTCTGCAAAAAGAACCTTTTATGTCTCCATTTGAACTCACAGCTTGGACAAAGGTTTCGGTGTAGCTGGGGAAAGAGGCGCAAGCCAAAATCTGGACACCAGGGGAATACAGACGGCTTCCTCAGAGGCTGCTGGGCACCAGATTCTCCTAGTTGTGCTTCAGGGTGAGCCTTTCGAAGAGATACTCGCTCAGCCCGGCCTGGGGGCCAGACAGCCTGCGGAGGTTAGTCAGGTGGTCACCCATCTTCTTGATGAGTTTCATCTCCTCATCCAGGAAATGCTTCTCCAGAAACTCACAGAGACGACGATCTGTGTTGGCAGAACCCAGGGCATGCAGATCCAGAAGGGCCTGGTTCAGGTTCTTCTCCAAGGCCATTGCGGCTTCCATAGCATCCACACCGCCACGCCACGGATCCTCAGACAGCTGCCCATCCGAGAGGAGGGGGTCGCCGCTCCACTGGTTTCGCATCTTCAAGAGACGCTGGGCACCCTCACGCTTCCTCTCAGCCAACTCTTGGAAGAAGATGCCCATGCCCTTCAGAGCTACATTGTTATCTTCAAAATGAAAGCACTGAGAGCGGTAGGTGTAGGAGGCCTGCAGATGCAGGTTTACCACGTATTGGAGTGCAGCCTCCACCTTGGCGGAATAATTCTGGTTGATCTGGGTGCTCATGGTTGGTTTGCAATGAGGAGCTAAGCACAAAGTATGGTGTCCACAGGCCCCGGAAGTCGAAGTTGAGGACAGCTGATTCCACCAGAAAATGTGATTGGAAGGGGAGGGGCTGGAGGATGGTGAGAGCTTGGCAGAGATAGGAGGAGATGGGGAAGGGGTGGGAATACCCAGTCTGTTCAATCCAATAGACACTTTTTTTAAGATTTTTTTAAAACTTTATTTATTAGAGACACACATACACACACACACACACACAGAGAGAGAGAGAGAGAGAGAGAGAGAGAAACAGGCAGAGGGAGAAGCAGGCTCCATGCAGGAAGCCTGACGTGGGACTCCATCTGGGGACTCCAGGATTACACGCTGGGCTGAAGGCAGGCGCCAAACCACTGAGCCACCCAGGCTGCCCCCAACAGACACTAAAAAGGGGCTGCCGGATGTACTCTGAGTGTAGCTTTTGATAAGGATTTAATTCTTCTTTTCCTAATTATTAGAAATGAGTCTTTATTTCCCATTTTGCCCCATTTCTTACCATAATTCCAAAATGAGGTAAGAATGTCCAAAGTAAGAACATTAAATATTGATAGCAAAACACCTCCAATTTTCACTTCATTTGTGATTTAAAACTCCCTTGGTTTTCTTATTTTAGTGTCTAAAGGAATATGTTGTTTCCAGCTCCTAATCCCTCGTTGAGAGGGTGACTGTTATTTCCAGTTTGCCCAGGGCAATCTTGTTGTCCTGATGTAATTATTAATAGTGCCCCTGAATAAATAAATAAAATAAATAGTGCCCCCTTTCACACTCAAAAGGGTCCTTGTTAGGAATATACATTACACAGTCATCTTACTTATTAAGGAGGTCAAAATCCACACATTAAATTTGGGCACAATTCATTTCCATTTTATTAATTAATCATACCACGAAGAACCCCTCATAAATTTTCTACTATTCAGCCTTCATTTCTTTCATGTGTTGATGCATTTATTCCTTTTTTAAAGATTTTATGTACTTATTCATGAGAAACACGGGGGGTGGGGCAGAGACACAGGCAGAGGGAGAAGCAGGTTCCCTGTGGGGAGTCCGATGTGGGACTCAATCTCAGGTCTCCAGGATCACGCCCTGAGCTGAAGGCAGATGCTCAACCACGGAGCCACCCAGACACCCACATATATTCCTTCTAATAGAAGTTCTCCTGAATACTATTTATGTGTCAGGTGTTTTGTTGGGTACTGGTAGCTTCCTGTGATTACCCAGATACTTCACCATGAAACATGTCATGTGAAAGGGTGGCACGGATGAAAATGTAGACCTATGAATCCTACCAAACCAGAAAATAACCCACACAGGATGCGTTAACTATTCTCAGTTGGAAGATGAGGGCAGAACGAGATGTTCTCATAGGGTCTCTTCCAGGTTTGTGATTTCATGCTTAGCATCTTATTTTCCCAAATACCACTTGCCTGGGGCTGTTTCACAATTAGAACACTTTCATGTGTCTTCTATCAAACAGGAAGGCATATCTTATTCAGGGTAAACAATATTTGAACACACAAAAGTTTTGCTCTAAAACTTGGACCTACTTTTTTAAAAAAAGATTATCTATTTGGCAGAGAGAGAGAGAGAGAGAGAGAGAGAGAGAGCAGGCACACACAAGCAGGGGGAGCGGCAGGCAGAGGGAAAGGGAGAAGCAGGCTCCCTGCTGAGCAAGGAACCCAATGCAGGGTTTGATCCCAGAATCCTGGGACCGTGACCCGAGCCGAAGGCAGATGCTTAACCAACTAAGCCACCTAGGCGTCCCTTGGACCTACTTCTAAATGAAAATTCAAATTCATTTTTTTGCACTACTTTCAAATATTTTCTATTTGTTGGTTGCTGGAGACCAACATCTTAAAATTCCAAAAAGAACTCTGCCATCTCCGCTCACTGCTTAAGCTAAAATACAAGCACGTATCCTGTATCTGAATACAGGATATATTGTAAATTTTATTCATAGAAGTTTGTTGTCCAAAAGTGTTCTCATATTGCATTTGAGGTTTGTGAAAACTGTTAGAATTCAAGAATGGCATATTTTTTGATCCTGGAGGGAACTGGGTAAGAAAGGAGTAGTTCTGCAGCTTTTCTGGCCTTGGTTCTAGGGCAAAAAAGAGACCGGGGGTGAAGAGAAGGAAGAAAAACAAAAATTCAAACCCAAGAACAATCCTCACACGTACTCAAATAGGAAATTATACAAGATTGAATAGTCTCCAAATGATTGCAAAGAAAATGTTCATTTTCTACCTTGCGCATAAACCATTAATCAGCATATACTAACCTTGTGATAAGAAAATGCTAAGCTTAGAGAAAGCTTCACCATATAACATATTATCTGTATTATAGCATATCAGGCTCATTTAATATATTTCTATTTCCTATACATTTATTTATTCTTCTTGGAAAAGAAAAATGCCTATATAAACCTCAGATGAGATAGTTTTCTGCCTTGTGAAAACGTTAACAAATCCTTCCCTCATTAGAGAGAAAAGAGTCAATGTTGGAACTGTATTCTGATAGGTGGTTAAGCACATAACTGTCAGAATCAGACCAATATAGGCTCAAATCCCAGCGTTGCCACTTACTATGAGTGTGACCTTAGGTAGCTCTTTGAGCTTCAGCTTTCTTGCCAGTAAAATGGGACTGTTAATATCTCACAAGTATACCACGAGGATTAAATAATATAATGCATGAGAAAACACTGCCAAACAAGTAGAAAGCACTCAATTTTTTTTGAGGGCTATATCATCAATGAATTTTGCAGTAAAATTGTGGGGATCCTCTCAAACCCTAGTAATATCAGATTCATATCCCAGTTTCCTCACCATAGACCTGTTTGACGGAATCACTATGCTCAGTGGCAATGTCCTTTCAAGTATGAAAGCACCAATGCATAGCCTTGGATGTCAAAGATCTAATTCATTTAAAACATGAGCAAAACTAGCTTCTCTTACTTCCTTTGCCTAAGTGAGATTCCCTTCCCTTGCCTTTGTGGCCTTCTCAGCTGTGGAGGCAAGGGAAACAGTGCCTCAGTGACAGAGGTCTATTTGTTTTCTCATTTCTCCAGCCCAAGATTATCATCCACTATAGCAAGAAACATCTAATGAACACCTACTTTATAGAAGAGGGTAAGATTATGGAACATTCCATGTGAATAATAAATTCATGTCCTCTCCCACTCAGATGTAGACTTTGGAATGCTTATGTCTTGGGTCAGATTCCCCAGAATCAGACCTTGAAATGAAGATTCCTGTTCAAGTTATTTATTGGGAAAGTGCTTCCAGGGGAGACCAAAAGAGAGTGGGGAAAACAGCACAGAAAAAGAAAGGAGGCCAAGAAGCAAGGTTGCAATTTCAGGAAAAGTCTGAGCCTCCTCATAATCTCAAGGCTTAGTTTTGGAGTACAAATTACAACTAGTGCTTATTTCAACATGAGGCAAGGGAACTGGATGTTCATAGTCCTGTCCATTGGCTATGGGTGTTCCCAGGAAAATATAAATTCCTATGGTCTTTGTATAGGCAACTCCAGTAGCCCAAGGGAAAGCCAAAGGTCACAGGTGCTAGTCATTAGCAAAAAAGCACATTGGAACCGGGTGCTGAGCACACCAAACTGGTAAAAGGGATCCAGTGATCCCTATGATATGGGCAAGGCCTGCATATCAGTCCACCACCAACTTGCTTCCCTACTTGACCTTGGAGGGTACAGTGGAAACAAGAAACTCCAATTAATACATTTTTACCATGAATCCAATTGATGAAATGAAGACATCATAGGTATTAATCTATATGTACATCTCTTTGCTACTTCTATTTACAGGGAATACAGGAGTTTTGGAGTCTATCTCTGAAATCTCTTTTGCCATCACTGAAGATCTGTAACTCTTTTCAGGGTCTCATTTCCCCTTCAGGGGCCACATATTCAAGACCAAAGCAGACCCAAAGATCCAGCTAAGAAAGCATTTGAATCTTTTATCTGACCCTCTGCTGTAACTGACAGGACTCCCTATATTGGAACCATATATTGATTTGTCTAATAGTTGCACAGAAGTACTTAAAAGTGAAAACATTCCTAAGAACCTAGAAATTGACAGGCTGTGAAATGGCTGCTTAAGAACCTGTCATCCAAACTGAATTCACCTGAAAACTGATGTTATACAAACAGCAAAATGGTCTCTGAGTGTTTGTCATTTTTTAAAAAGGGACTGTAAGGGGTACAATTTAGTTGTGAGCTGTTCACCTACTGTAGACAAGGGACAGCTTGACACCAGGCACAGTTATAAAACTGAAAGTCTATCATTTTTTCTTCACAACACACACCCACACACACACACAGCCGCGACCTCATTCCACCTGTAACCCCCACTAAACTCTGAAGCACACTGAGAAGCTTATCACGGCCTAGCCCAACAGATCCACCTCACAAAACTTACCCTTCCTGTGCTTCCCATGGGCACCTCAAACAAGTAGTGGTTCTCAACTAGGACTAATTTCGTTCCCCAGAAAGCATTTGATGTCTATAGACAATTTTGGTTGTCATAACTAGGAGGAGGAGACTATGGCGTCTAGTGGGTACAGACAGGCCTGCAATGCTATTAAATGTTCTACAATGCCCAGGACAACCCCCCACAAGAAATAACCATGCAGCCCAAAGTGTCAATAGTGCTGAGGTTGAGAAACTCCTGGCTAATGGGTAGATAATGTTGGTGTCTTAGTTTGGGTTCCCCTAAAAGCAGACCTGAGACAAGGACTTGAGTACAACTAGTTTATTTAAGAGGTGATCCATGAAAGCAGCAGTAAGCATTGAAGGTAAATGAGACAAGGACAAGGAAGAAAACCAATAAGCGGTGTGTGTTAAAGACCTAGTTAGCACTATGAACAACTAGGAGTCAATGCTACTGGGGAACTCTGGGGGACTATATGAAGCACACCTTGGGGTTATCCTGAACAAGGACAAGGAAGTTGTAATATTTACCT